CTGTAAACCGCTTAGAGAGGGCTGAAAGCCCTATGAAGCGGTATATAAGTCTAACTGCTATTGCTATTGCTACTGCAGGATGAAAGCCTCTTCCGCATGTTTCCAACCAATATGATCCTGAGCTTTCTTTTGCCAATTGGCCCACAATATTTGCTGATGTTATTGATGCATCTTCTTTTAGGTTTCTTTCGTGGAGACTTTTTATCTAATGGGATCCATTCTATGACTGCCTTGGACTACCTGCCATCTGTTCTTCTTGCTATGTGAGCAGCCCGTTTCCATTTCAATTCTTTTATTCTCTTGATGATGTCATATACTTTTGTTTTTTGTCTAATCCATGTGCAGGGCTTTCTATCCTTCTTGTGATGCCAAACGTGTATTTCCCCATGGCTCTTTGCGACACAGTCAGTATATGTTCATTAAACTCTGTTTTCTACATTTGTCTTCTTTTCTGAAATAATTGTTACGATAGCTAACCTTGAAATGACTAATGTCCAGATGCAAATGTAATAATGAGCTATAAGAAACTGAACAGAGGTGTTAAAAATTTTGATCTGCTCACTACACCTGAACAAACAAGAAGAAATGAGAATATATGAATGAGGCTAGAGACTAATCTTAAGTCTTAAAACACATTTTGATTTAGATTCAAACACATTAATCATGTTTGTAATTCATTTATGTTATGCTTTAATTATGGGTATTTTGTGCCCTACCGATACCAACTCTGATTAAATGTATACAGATAAATATTTATTTCTTCTTGTTTGGAATAATGACATACAAAGATCCACAGGGCAGCAAATAAGGGGCAAAGATATTTGGAAGGAGAGTTGGAAAACTGGAACAGAAATTAATGAAGCTAGTAATGTTCAAGAGAAAGAAAGAAAGAAAGAAAGAAAGAAAGAAAGAAAGAAAGAAAGAAAGAAAGAAAGAAAGAAAGAAAGAAAGAAAAAGAGGGAGAGAAGAGAGAGAGAAGAAAGAGAGAGTGCTTCAACTTTTTAAGCATTCCTGAACTGAAAGTTTGAAAATCTCAAGATATATAAATATTTGACACAATTGTTTTGACAGCCCGGAAACTTTCCCCTACTTTTCCCAAAGAGAAAGAGAGAAGATTGCTTGCTGCCATCACAGAAAGCTCCTCGCAGACTTTTGCAATATAATGCTGAGACCATACTATACTATTACCTAGGCAATCAAAACTGGGCTCTAAAAACTGGTGCTTTTTTGCTACTGACTGTCTGGATTATTGCAGCCTAAATGTGGTAATTCTACTCTTAGCCTTTGTTTTGTTAGGAACCAGGGGTGGGTTTCAACCGGTTTGCGGCGGTCCCCGCGAACCGGTTGGTCAGCGAACCCGGAAGTAAGTAACTTCCAGGAATGGCGAAGGGCCCGCCCACCCGCCCGTGCTCCTTACCCGGTTTTGACGAGTTCTGCGCTTTCACACATGCGCAGGATGCATACAGCTCCTGCGCGATCCTCCAGGAGCAGCTGGAGCATCGCACAGATGCTAGTACGCATGCGTGCACTGCGCACATGCACGAGGACGCCGCCGGCCCCGTTCCAACTGAACCAGTTGGAACGGGGCGAGAAACCCACCCCTGTTAGGNGGAAGGATATTGCAAAATCTCCATTCCTACCCCATTCTGGGGCCAGCCAGAGGTGGCATTTCACCGGTTCTCCAAACTACTCAGAATTTCCACTACTGGTTCTCCAGAACCTTTTAGAACCTGCTGAATTTCACACCTGCCTCCATCCTTCCAAGGTGGGTAAAATGAGGACTCAAATTGTTGGGGGCAATATGCTGACTCTGCAAACCACTTAGAGAGGGCTGTAAAGCACTGTAAAGCGGTATATAAGTCTAAGTGCTAAGTGCTACTGTTACCTATAGCTATGTATAAACAATTCTCATGTTTTCAAGTTGATAAATACAGTAGCCATGATTACTGTATGTAAAAGAGGGAGTGTGGCTTCAACAGGATAAATATACCCACCATCTTGACTTAAAAAGTAACAGTATGCCATGCAAGGAACTGTCAAAAATCTAATAGTAAACTGTCTAACCAAAGAACCTCCAAGAACACTGGCAGGATAAACCTAGAATATAAGCTGAGAGCACACCCCACTCCTTACTAACACTAATGATTTAACCTAATTTGGTATTGAAACATCTGCAAGAAAACAAGCAAGCACGGAGAGCATCAAGAGGGCCTGATCTCGACTTTTTTCTGACCTTCCTGCAGATGCCCTGTGTAAGATATTGTGGGCACAAGTTGCAGAAGGGAGTTAGTGGCTTTGAGAAAAGGCAACATAATCCAGAATTGGAGACATGGGAAAGAAACTTTTCAAAGAGTTATCTTAACTGGTTTGTTCTATGTCTTCTTGGGACAGTAGCTTTCAAAATTATTTCATCAAGCTACTATTAGAGATACCTTCCTGAATTTTGTGTTTCCAATAATGGAGAATATTTGCAGCTCAGGGTTGAAATGAGGGATCCGTAGAGTTCTCTGAACTTGGTTGTTTTCTTGCAGATCTTTCATTAACCAAACAAGGCAACATCATCAGTGAAATCTATGTCTCCTTGAGTTGGCCAGCAATGTGATTGAGCTTCTTTTAATTTTCTTTTTTTTTTTAAATTATTATTTTTTCCCTTCTACAACACCTTACAGTCATTACATCAACATTGTTATGTCATCATACCTGCACATGTATATAATACTTCACTTCTATATTTACACGTCTTTATACACAGTTCTATATATATTTATATATATTGTTTTTTGGCTTAATTAATTTTATTCCTGTTTTGCAGCCATTTNATTGTTATGTCATCGTACCTGTACATGCATATAATATTTGGCTTCTATATTTACGCACTTTTGTACACAGTTCTATATGTGTTTATATATATATTGTTTTTTGGCTTAATTAATGAATTTGTTTTTCCCTTTGCAGCGGGGTTTTCTGGCTTTATTTTGATGGGCCGCATTCCCCGCCGGCTCCGATTTTTCAAACCTTGCTCCGTCTGTCGTTTTGGCGCTCGGTTGTGGTTGTGTGTTTTGGCTGACCAGGGTGACGCCCGCTGTTTCTTCCGTTCTCTGCAGTTACCTGGTGGGAGACGAGCTGTGGGTTGTCATGGAGTATCTGGCCGGCGGTTCCTTGACAGACGTGGTAACGGAGACCTGCATGGATGAAGGGCAGATCGCAGCCGTGTGCCGTGAGGTGAGGATTTGTAATGATGACGGTAGATCCCCCCCCCCCCCCGGGGTGCCTTTGGCTCCGGGATTCAGAGAGATGCCCTTCCCGGATTCCTCAGGGGCTCCAACAGTGGCAGAGCTTGGAAGGGGTCATGGAAAAGATATTTAGAAATTCAAGGAGGTATTGAGATGGGGCTGGCCTGGAAGTAGCCCAGGTTGAACTGTATAGCACATAGATCACTCCTTCTTTCCTTCCTTCCCTCCTTCCTTGCTTCCTTCTTCCCTCCTTCCTTCCTTCCTCCATTCCTTCCTTTCCTTTTCCTTTTTTCCCCTCCCTCCCCTTTCCTTCTTTTCTTCTTCCCTCCGTCCCCCTCCTTCCCTCCCTCCCTTCCTTTTTCTCTCTCTCCCCTCTTCCTTCCTTCCTTCTGTCTAGCCATCCACCCATTCTCCCCTCTCCCTCGCTTCCTTCCCTCCCTCCCTTTTTTCCTCTCTTCCCTCCTTCCTTCACTCCCTCCCTCCTTATCTAATCCTTCCTTACCTCTCCCCCTCCCTTTCATCATTTTTCCTTCCTTCCTTCTTCCTTCCTTTCTTCCCCCTTTTTTCCTTCCTCCCTCTTTCCCCTCCTTCCTTCCTTTTTTCCTCCTTCCTTCCTTCTTCCCTCTCTCCCCCTCCTTCCTTACCTTTTCCTCCCTCACTCCCTTCTTTCTTCCCTCCCTCTCCATCGTTCCTTGCCTTCCTTCCTCCATTCCTTCCCTTTTCCTTCCTTCTTCCCTCCATCCCTCCCCCTTTCCTTCTCTCTCCCCTCCTTTCTTTCCTTCTGTCTAGCCATCCACCCACTCTCCCTCACTTCCTTCCCTCCCTCCCTTTTTTCCTCTCTTCCCTCCTTCCTCCACTCCCTCCCTCCTTCTTATCTAGTCATCCATCCTTACCTCTCCCTTTCATGTTATCTTTCCTTCCTTCCTTCTTCCCTCCTTTCTTTCCCCCTTTTTCTTTCCTTCCTCCCTCTCCCCCCTCCTTCCTTCCCTTTTCCTCCTTCCTTCTTCCCTCTCTTCCCCTCTTCCCTTACCTTTTGCTCCCTCCCTCCCTTCTTCCCTCCCTCTCCCTCGTTCCTTGCCTTCCTTCCTTCCTCCCTTCCTTCCTCCCTCCCTCCCTTCCTTCCTTCCTTCCTTTCCTCTAGCCATCCACCCAGTCTCCTTCCTTCTCCACACTCCTTCCCTCTCTATTCATCTTCCCGCTCCTTCCTCCCTCCCTTTCACCCTTATCATGCCTTCCTTCCTTCCTTCCTTCCTTCCTTCCTTCCTTCCTTCCTTCCTTCCTTCCTTCCTTCTTTCCTGCCTTCCTGCCTTTCCTCCCTCCCTCCGGATCATCCTTTCGGAGATGCTTTTAATTCTGTTTATTGTACAGCTTCCTTAATAGAAAGTGCTTCTCTCCCCACCCTCTTCGCTCTCTCTCCCTCTCTCTCCCAAGGTTATTCTCACCTACCCTGTTCTCCCCCTGCCTTTCTGATCCCTGCATCATCAGGGGGTGGGTGGATGTTGGTCATTGGGAAATGCATAGATGCCCCCAGAGACCCACCTCTGTGCTTGGCGTTCTCCCTCCCCCCCCCCTTTAGTGCCTTCAAGCGTTGGAGTTCCTTCACTGCAACCAGGTGATCCATCGTGACATCAAAAGTGACAACATCTTACTTGGAATGGACGGCTCTGTCAAGCTAAGTACGTGACTTGGATAATTGTTGACAATTGTGGGTCTGTAGGGGATGTTTTGCCTGTGTGTGAAATCCCCCCACCCACCCTGATGAATGAATAATAGATGCCTCTGATCCCAGCATTGCGACTGGGTATTAATTTTCAGTGAGCAAAAGTTGGAAAACTATTCATTGCACGCATAGAGAGGCGGGTTATTATTAATTCTGTTTTTTGGGGGACCTGGCCCGCTGGCCTGCTCCAATTCTTAAATTTATTTATTTAGGCCAGGGGTGTCCAAACTTGGGAACTTTAAGACTTGTGGACTTCGACTCCCAGAATTCCCCAGCCAGCATGGCTCCCCAGTCAGAAGCAGTGTATATTTATTTTTTTTGCCGGGGGGGGGGAGGTCTTCTGCACATTGTCCATGGGGGCTCCAGGTTCTGGGAGTTGGGGTGCACCACTGGAGTAGACCAAGTTTAGCCTCAACCCCTTTCCATCCATTCACTTTTGTTTGTTTTTCCTTCCCCTCCAGCCGATTTTGGCTTTTGCGCCCAAATCACGCCGGAGCAGAGCAAGCGCAGCACCATGGTGGGGACGCCATATTGGATGGCCCCCGAAGTGGTCACCCGGAAAGCCTACGGCCCCAAGGTGGACATTTGGTCTCTGGGCATCATGGCCATTGAGATGATCGAGGGGGAGCCCCCGTACCTCAACGAGAACCCCCTGCGGGTAAGTTTGGGGCCTCAGGGAGGGGTGTCCTTTGACGGAGGAGGAGGAGGAGGAGGAGGAGGAGGAGGGCTCATCGGCTGCGAATTCAGGGCAAATATAAGCCTCCCAGGAGGATGTGACTGGATCCCACCTGTCGGTCCCCGGGACCCTCCTGAGGTTTATTCTTCCAAGATTTTGGTACCAGTGCTGGAGGCCCCCCCCCCACCTGGGAATTTCTCTCTCTCTCTTTCTCTCTCCCTCTTTCTATCTTTCTTTCTCTCTCTCCCTCTTTCTCTCTCTCTCTTTTCTCTCTCTCTCTCTCCCTCTTTCTCTCTCTCTTTTTTCTCTCCCTCTTTCTCTCTCTCTCTTTTCTCTCTCTCTCTCTCTCCGTCTTTCTCTCTCTCTCTTTTCTCTCTCTCTCCCACTTTCTCTCCTTTTTTTCTCTCTCTCTCCCTCTTTCTATCTCTCTCTCTTTTCTCTCTCCTCTCTCCCTCTTTCTCTCTCTTTCTCTCTCTCCCTCTTTCTTTTTTTCTCTCGCTCCCTCCCCCCCTCTCTCTTTTCTCTCTCTCTTTTCCTCTCTCTCTCTCTCTCTCTTTTCTCTCTCTTTCCCTCTTTCTCTCTCTTTTCTCTCTCTCTTTTCCTCTCTCTCTCTCTCTCTCTTTTCTCTCTCTTTCCCTCTTTCTCTCTCTTTTCTCTCTCTCTCTCCCTCTTTCTCTTTTCTCTCTCTCTTTCTCTCTCCCTCTCTCCCTCTCCCTCTTTCTATCTCTCTCTTTCTCTCCCTCTTTCTCTCTCTCTCTTTTCTCTCTCTTTCCCTCTTTCTCT